GGTCTCACCAAGTTGCCCAGGTGGGTCTCCAACCCGTGGGCTCAGGCAATCCACTCACCTCGGCCTCCCAAAGCGTGGGATTACAGGCTGAGCCACCAAGCCCAGTTTACAAACATTTTTTTAAAAAAATGAGCCAGGTGTGGTCCCAGCTACTCTGGAGGCTGAGGCAGGAGGATCAGCTGAGCCCAGGAGTTTGAAGCGGCAGTGAGCAGTCATTGTGCCCCTGCACGCCAGCCTGGGCAACACAGTGAGATCCTGACCAAAAAAAAAAAAACCTCTCCATTTTACAGTTAGAGAAGAGGAACCTCTGAGAAGTTAAGCAACTTTCCCAAGGTTGCACAGCAGGAAATTGGACCGTAAGTTCCAAGAAGACCTCACAAGGAGTTAGGGACCCACCCATGCACTTTAAGGCACAAAGGAAGTTGCATATATAATTTCCTCTATCTCATTGGCTGAGAACATAGTCACATGGCTTCACTGGCTGCAAGGGAGGCTGGGAAGTGTGGTTTTTATTCTTGTCAACCATCTTCTCACTCATACTCTCAGGGGTTCTATTTCCTGAGAAAGAGGAAGAGTGGATATTAGAGATAACCAGCGGCCTTGCCTGCAATATATGATGCCAAACACCACAAGAAAGAACAGGGATCCCACCTGGGCAACGAAGCAGGATCTCATTGCTACAAAAAAGTTTAAAATATTAGCTGGGTGTGGTGGCACGCACCTGTAATCCCAGCTACTTGGGAGGCTGAGACAGGAGGATGGCCTAAGCTCAGGAGGTTGAGGCTGCAGTGAACCGTGATGGTGTGGCTGCACTCCAGCCTGGGTGACAGAATGAGACTCTTTTTTTTTTTTTTTTTTTGAGTTGGAGTAAAAATAATCTATAACCATAATTAATTTCCAAAGATCTCCTCCTCCTTGTGCATGACCCAAGCAGTTGACAAATATTTGGTAAGCACTTTATACACAGCAGGTATTGCATATACTTCATGGCATGCAATATTGAGTTATAAAATTAAAAGCAGTGTAGCCCATACATAAAATCATACAGGAAAAAGATAACTCTGGAATCTCATAACAACTTGTTTTACAAATTATACATATAACACTATTTATTACAAAAAATCAAGAGGGCTTCAAATGTTTAGAAAAGAAACAAATTAGAAAGATCAGATTACCTGGCTTGGTACCTGATACAAAGACCACATTTTATTAATTTTACTTAATGCTTTAACATCATCTCAATCCAGGAGTTGAAGCAAAAGTCCTTTTCTTGTTCAAACAATTAGAGTTCACCGTGTGTGAGGCATTGCCTTGTTTGCTTCATACAGTATTCACTAATTTCATCCTCACAAAGATCCTATGGAGCCGATAGCATCACTGTCCCTACTTTTGAGATAGAAAAACGGAAACTGTCTTGAAAAAAGAAAAAAAGTTATCTTTCTTATAATATAGAA